GGAAAATTTGATAAATACCGCGGTAAGGGAAAGAGGGTGGATTTCAGAGGGGAAGGTATTGCGTTCGATTCGCTGAAATTCAGGAAATTAACTGGTCGAGGGAAACTCGTGTTGAAATGGGAACATTTCATTTCTAATCATTTCTTAAGAGAACGGTACAAACATCGCAGAATGCAGCTAATTAATTAAGACTCATAGTCTCGTATTCCCACGTCTGACCGTCTAATCCATTGAAACTTCTGCGACTTCATTAAAATATTGAAAATGTAGAACACTATTCCCAGAAGCAAGTTTCATTATTTACTCGGGAGTGTCACCCAAGAGACTGAAATAATTCTCCCGAATTTGCCCCATAAATATCTCTGAACGTCTTATTTCGCGATCGGTTGGCAAACGTTAAATCGCGAGACCCGAATTCCACGGTTTCGAATCGATATTGGATCGATCTCGCGATCGTTTCACGAATTTCGGTGAAAATCGCGTCGCTTCTAAAAGGTGGGCGAGATTTAAAGTTCGACCGGACAGCGATAAAGATTGCGCGGTGGAAAGGGGCCGCAATAAATTCCGTTTCGTTGGCTACGCTTCTTCCTTCGTTTCGCTACCGTCCCTGGTGATTTACGCGACGATGCTCTCGCTAGATGGACACCGGAAGTAGCAGTCAGCTTATACCCGTTACGACGTGTTATTTCGTTGCCTTCTTTTTAATAGGTCCGCGTGATATTTCCCAGATCAATTCTATCGACTATTCTATTTCAAAAAGCGTTAGGGTGCAATGTACAAAAAATATCAACGGTTCATGAAATGCATGAAAATATTTTGTTATATTTCTGTTGAAACGCTTTAAAATATCATATTTGTGTCTTAAACTTGTCCATCTTTGCTTTATTCCACGGTATACACTGTAATTTATAGCGCCACACTTTTCGTCTGACAATATATTGACTTGTACTACTTATTCGATCAAGGGAACGCGAACCTAGCGTCTGACCATATGCAGGGTTATACTACTTACACGCCTATACTACGTTTATTGCGCAAATATAGAACTGTAACTTAAAATAAACTTTCATTCCGTTTATTTCATTTTTCCACCTTTACAAATGCAATTGTGAAAAATGTTCCAAATTTTCTTCCTTCGTTTTAATTTATAATTAGACTCCACCTTACAAAAGTATAAAAAACAATTATCTGGCAAGTTTGTTCGGGAAATCTATCGAGGCTCGGCTCGATGTACGTTGAAAATCGGCCTGGAAAACAATCAATTACCGGTGGAAAGCTCACGGTATCGACGTAAGGAAGCGGAACAAGCGCGTTTCCGCACGGAGTACGGCATCGTGGCGCGGCATGTAATCGAAACGGCGATTTGCCGGTTAAAGGGGGGGGATGGTAAGAGGGGGTGGCAGTCCTCGTGTCGACTGGCGGGCTTGATTAGAGCCAGCCAGCCGTGAATCGACGGCGCTGGGAATTAGAGATCGGCCAGTTAAGAGAAGCAGCTAACGGGGCGTGTCGCGAGCGTAATTGCACCAGCGTCTGCGAACGTCGTCGCTGCGAATTCGCAAATAGCCAGACGAAAGGCGGTTTCCGATGTGCGACGGACTAAGGTGAAGATTGTACCGCATTGTCTAAGATACGATGGGGATTCGAGAAGATTTTTTTATTAGATCCTGGTATATTATGTTCTTACAAAGTAGATAATACTTGTAACTCCCTTATTTTCCATAATTTCGTCGACGATGACTTAACCGGCATTATTTTAATTTTACCAACATTTCCCGCCGTTATAGTTATAATACACGCGAAGACAGAAACATCAGAATTTATTTGCATACCGTGGAAACAGCTTCCCCGATATGAAATTACCCGCGGATGTGTTTCTACCGCGTGTTCTACAAACAAGCCTCGTGTTTCGTCGAGAAATGTCATGGTTCACGTCGACCCAGCGCTCTTTCTCTTTTCCTTTATCTTTTCGAAAAAAAGAAGAAAGCGAATATCTCGTGGTTTGCTGGTCGTTTCATTTACTCTTTCAGCTTTCTTGTATCTTGTATCCTATAGGCTTTAACTTCGTATCTACCTTCCACTGATTTCTCGTTTACCCTATTCGTTTGCCCTTTTGGTAGAACCCGATTATAAGACCCTTTACCAAATGTTCAGATTTATTAAAAAATAATGCGACACGCTGTAACAGATTTTCGCGAATTTCCACTCAATTTTCTCATCGCAATTTCCAGCAGATGCTTGTAACATTCTTTTTTTCTTCCTCAAGGGTTACTCTTATGAATATTTTCGTTTCCACGCGGGGTTAAAAACGGCCATACCTTTTTCCAACGTTCTCTTTTCATGGACGATGCTACTTGAACCTGGGCAACGATGGACGAACGAATTTACACGCCTCCCACGCTCGTGCGCACACGAAAAACCTATCCCCCGCCCTTGGCGGGGCGGAATTTAATAAATTACGAAACGGTGAATAAAAAGAGAAGGCGGCTTGTTTTTCATTTACCGACGCGTCATTAGCTTTCGCCTACGTTTGTCGCTCGGGCGAGCACATATTTTTCCTCTGGTTCGCGACACGGTCGCAATAACCCGCAGATCCGTGGACGTCGGTGGGCGAAATTAAACATAAAATCGAGCAGACCCGCCTTTGTGACTCGCGAGTCCCTCGGGGAAAAAATATGTATCCTCCCCGACAGGAGTTTGTCAGGATACCGTATGAAACTGAGTTTTTAGTGTCGAGTGGTTTGTACCTTTTATTTTTATTTTCTATTTTTGAGAATAAGTTTTCTACCGTTGGAGATTTTATAATCAGGATCAAAAGGTTGTTGGAGGATACTGAACTACCCATTTTTCTTCTTTTCCATTCTATGCTGTATTACTATTTACATTATTTTTTAATTGTTACACTGATTTTAGTAAAATTTTGTATATAAAATTAAGAATTAAAAAATATTTAATGGCTTTGTCAATTTAAAAATTGCAAAGTATATGAATTACTGGAATTATTAGATTTTTGTGAAATGCTATTAATTACTGGCTACAATTACTAGAAACGAGAAACAGAAGATTTTGCGAGAAAGAGAAAGAGCTGTGTAACAGGGAACAAAGGATAAGATTATTGTATTACTATTAGCTCAGCGAGTCAACCTATTGTCGTACTGAAACGAGACTGAAAACGAGCCTCTTTGTTAACTCTGTCGTGTACGAGACTGGATAATGAGAATTCGAAACAGCGAGCACTAGCAGCAACTAAAATTTTCGAAACTTTCACTGTATCCTGTAATTTAGACGTTATATTACTGTCGTTGATTGACTATTGAATGGAGATAGAAACAATTGTTAGCGCTGATTAATTACCAGTGCCAAGGATGAACCCTTTACAAAAGGTATTGATTCAGATTCAACCCTTTTGTCTGTTTATTGCATCACCGAACACGCTCTAAATACGAATTATTTCATTGATAAAAGCAGAGGAGAAATTTATTATTATCCATCGTAATTGATATAATTACCTTGAAAAAAAAATTTCTTCATCAATAAAAAAACTCACTCAAACTTTTCAAAAGATTTCTCCAATATTCATCCCTGTTTCTAAGATACTTCTTTCGTGCAAGGGGTCGAAAATCCATCAACGATGCGTCAACATCGTGCCATCCATACATGTAAACGTGGTTGAAGAACGATTGAAAATTCTGCAATGGTAAACTGCACGTTCGGTCTCTAATTTACGAGACTGTCGACTGGCATCCGTAGGAAAAAGTTTACAGAACGTGTCTTTTGATCTGCCCTCCTTTCGTCCCGTGCCGACTCCCACCGTTTCCCCTTCAATTTCCGTTTCCTTGTTTGTCGTCCTCCGATGACATTCGATAAATATTTTACATGTCGTCGATACCAGCCGAGCACGTCTGCTCGTCGATTGTCTTTCGAGCGAAGAAAATATCCGTACAAGATATAAAGATAGTAAAACGTTTGAAAAATGATCCATGCCGATACCTCTGCTGCAGAAATCCTATCTCTTCGATTATTGAACTGATTCAAAAAAATGTTTAATTTAAACATCCGACACTTTGAACGTAATGGCAAATGTTGAACATCTTTTGAAAATCTTGCAGCCAACTTTCCTTATGTACGCACGTAATATAAATGAAACCTGTGTATAATTTGTGCACGAGTACACAATCTCAAGATAATCATACTCAATTTCCATAATGCAATCCCGTTCTAGATCAAACGATCACGCGACCAGTCTAAATCCGACAGAACACTCTATCCTGAGCGGAGAATATAATGTTCAAGGTTCGGAAATCTTTCTACCGATGGTCCAAGATCGTTCCATCCCCTCGAGAGGGGGTGGTAAAAAAATTCTTAGTCCGTGAAACAGCGAAGAAATCGCGTTTGATATCGTAAAGCTGTCCTTACCAGGCGTATCCCGAGACGAGAGGGACGAAGATGGTGGTGTTCGAGTCTGTCGTGCGAGTTCGCGAGAAAGCAAGGGGCTGGAAATCGAGGGTGCTTAGCACGCGACTTTGCAAGGCCAAGCTGTGGGAGGCCATTTTATAACCAATTAGTTTCCCTCTTTAAGAAACTGCCTACGGAAGTAGCACTCGAGGCGTCCTTCGGCTCGCTCCAAGTGCCTCGCTGCTGCTTCTTCCTCGGCCACCGACGAAAATAGAAAATCATTGTCCCGCGATGACTTCGCTTTTCAACCGACAGTCACGAACAAACTCGGAACAATGGGGATGTTTATCGGGCTTGTTAATCGGAGATGAGACGGTGCTTTGGAAGATTCTTAAAACGATTTCCTTTCCGCTGATGTTATTTAATTTTAATAATTTTTTAGAGAATAGGTTCAATAATTGAAACGATTTTAATAGGAGAAGTGAATTATTTGTAAATTAGAACGATAATAACGTGGAACAATTAATCGATCGTGAAACGAAAAATCATCCCCCCCGTAAGGTCAATTGAATTGTTGAATTTAATCAGATCTCTTAACCTTCTTCCAGATCCCTGACCGTACGAAAAAATCAAATGCCGAGAACTTTGCTCGATCGCCGTTGGATTATCTGCTCCTGTCGTCCCACGGATCCGCTTTTAATGAAAGCTTTTCTCGGTAAGTCCTTTTTGCTGTGCGATTTTCTTGGCGATCGTTAACGGGAAAGAATCGAAAACCGGAAATAGACATTCTTGGTTTATCACTGATACATTAACTCCTGCAATAATTAATCCCCTTTAAGACTTAACAAAATCGGTTGGAATGAAGAAGAAAGGGTTGAACCTGCTTATCTTTTCTCATATTGCATTCGTGCTATCCGGAACGCGCGCATCTTCTCGTGTATACTCGTTGCGATGGTCATGGAAATATCTCGTCTCTGGTACATCCCATAGCGGAGTTTGCAACGCAGAAACACGCGTGGAATGTATTACGTTTCGAGCTTTTACCGTTGCAATGTACCGAACGAGAATACGAGAGAGAAAATCGACGTTTCGTTGGGAAACACGGCGGTGGTAGTCGTAGTCGGAGAAAATCACGATGCACCGAGGAGATTCCTATCCATTGCGTAGGTGGATGCAGAACAGGGAAGGTGGAATGAGTTTTATTTGCTAAAGAAAGGTTGATTTAACGAGGCCTCTCCTTTGGTTGCGAGCTCGAGCTAATGCGATTACGGTTTTATCAGAAGTAGCACCGGTGATTCGTCGCCGTCTGATCAATGGCCGACTCGTATCACTTAATCCCGGTATAATGGCCATCGAGTGGAATGTTCCGCGAACGTGCATTATGTAAAACGAGCAACGGGGCTAATTTATTAATTCGTTCGACGTCGCGTGGGTCACGCGTGCGCCTATTCGAAGCCGCATGCTATTATTATTGAGCTATTCCACTTGTTTCGTTTGCTCCCTCGAGGAAAAATACCATCCTATCGAATTAACTCGAATGCAAATTAGAAAATAATGTCTCCAGTTTGTTGAAAAATTAAAATAATCCAAAATGATGATGAATTAATTCAGTTGTTCGATGGTGGCTATGTACAGGAGTAGCATAAATTGTGCATGTCATTACGTTTCATTACGCATGTCAAGCGATTCGTTAACGTCACCGATAATACCGTGTGTCGGAGAAACACAGAGCTAGGAGAGAGTGAAAACGAAGGATCCAGTAAGGAAATAGAGAAACAAGAAGGAACGAGATACGTATGGATTGGATGAAGAAAGGCGGAGGATCGCGAACGACTGGGACAAATCGCTGGGTGATCCCTTTTCGGATTATCACTACCTGGCCTGGATTCGTCTGAACACGTACCCACCGTTTCTACTGGCCCGTTCATCCATTGTTTTCACTCGTCGATCCGTAACGCTCGTTGTTTTTCTAACACAGTTACGTGTCACCGTTTTCCAGATTCAATGATTATTGAATGAAACAACTTCTCTTCCCGCTAGAAAAACAGCATTGATTTGATACGTTCCAGATATTTGATTTTTTTTTTAAATACCATCGAGAGGGTCGAACAAAAAAGACTATTAATTAATAGAACGAAAAAGAAAAGATTGAGATTCTATATAAAATAGTAAAATTAAAAAGTTGCTTCAATATTTACTTCTGGGGTTTGTAATATTTTCCATGTTTGATTTAAAGAAGATCTTTTTGATTTTTTTTTAAATACCATCCATAGAGGGTCGATCAAAAAAGATTATTAATTAATAGAAAAGAAAAGATTGAGATTCTATATAAAATAGTAAAATTCAAAAGGTTGCTTCAATATTTGCTTCTGGGATTTGTAATATTTTTCATGTTTGATTTAAAGAAAATCTTCAATATTCAAATATCGAAGTTTAAATTTATGTAGGAAGAATCGAAGTGTATGAATCGAAATGATCGGCCCAGTTTCGTGATCCACCGGATCCACGGGATAATCCTCGGCTCAGAGGTGAAACGAATCAAAACTTTGCCGGCCGCAGCCTAAATGTCTTGATCCCGATTACAGCCGGAAGTTCTCGCGTCGTCGCTGTTCCTGTTCGGCTTCCCGGCATGCGAAACTTTTCGACAGGATTTCGAGGAGATAAAGCGATTCGCGACACGGTCTTTTCGTGGCCTTTCATGGGGTTAATGCGTCCCCACAGCTCGGATCACCCACGGCGTTTCCGGCCAATTTTTCATAGGACTTCGTTTTCATCGAGAACGGAAGTCCTTTGCTTGGAAAAGTTGCGGATTCGAATAGAGTTTATCGGATAGAAAAGGATCGATCGTTAGAAGTTAAAGAAACGAGAAATTTCTTCTTTTATTATTGATTTATTTAGGAAAAAGAATCATAGTAGGTTGATTAAAAAAGCGAAAGAAGCGTCGATTCATCGTGAAATCCTTTATCGGAAGCACGAAAATTCGATGCAGGCGAGAAAATGTTTCCGAAGCTTCTTCCACTCGAAACGGTCCCCGAGTGCTTTCGAGGGCGTCCACAATTTTTGAGAGGTACGTCTTCTAGCGATCCAGCCACGAAACAATGGACTTCTCGACAAGTGTCTTCTCCGTCAACCTGCTGGCCCCTTTTATACCAGAAACAATGGATCCCTACCCTGAAAGAAGGTCTTCCTTCTTCTCCTACTCCTTCCTTCAACCCGTTTCTGTCGTGGCTCTTTTTGCATTCGCGGTGTCTCAGCTCGCGAAAATTCCTCCAGAGACTTCCGGAATAATTCGATTTCCGGCGAACAATCGAAAACTCGTGTTCCCGTCGAGTTCCTTTCCGAACAGAATTTCGAGAACGGAACAAAGTTTTTCTTTACTGCAACGTACCAGGTACACTTGAAATCATATTGTTATTTTAGAAAGCATAATAAGTAATTGATTAACAATTGTTCTTAATAATTTTCTTCTCCGTTGATTTTGAATATTATTCCGTATGAAATTTGTATTGTAAACGTTGAGCTGAGAGGAATATTCCTCGTCTGACCATTCCCAGTAGCATTAATAATTAGCCTAATGACAGAACCGAGGGTGGTACTCGTCGAATGGTAAACAGACGACAAATTTGGCCGGTTACGCGCGTTATTTCCGACGAATTACGGCATTTGATCGTAGCCTCGAAATGTTTACGAAGCCAGACTGGCTGGTCTGGGTTTGGTTGTTTTACGCGGATCGGCCCGCCATGATTACAAGCTCGTGGTTTAAGATCAACTAACAGAAACGACGTGTCCACGTTTCAACTGATAAACTATACCTTTTTTTAGAGCGCAATTAAAAATACATAGAGAAAAACTGGGCCAGACGAGAAAATAATGCACGAGATATCGATGTTTTTTCAAGTTACCATTGCAGTTGTGAAAAATTCATTTTACCATTTCAACCGTTTAATAAAAATAAGTGGAAGCTTTTAAAAATTCGACAAAATTTTCATCCACCCTTATGGTTTTTTTTATGAATCATCAAGAATGTTCAATTTCAATTGTGAAATTATCCGAGCGAGTTAAACGAAGCTTGTCAAATTTTAATCAAAAATTTTAATCCACCTTCTCATTTTCTTCGCGTCCCGCCCAGACGACAATTTTTCTGTCTCGTATATACTTTCATCATCGACCTTGCCCGCCATCCCCTTTCAATATTCCTTCGCAACGTTTACCACGGACCAGCTTAAAAAAGAATATTCAGGTTGGCACGTTTCGAGGCGCTTAATCCCGGCCAATATTTCCTCGCGACCGTGTCTATTCCATTATAAGCCTGGTTACGAGGTATCGCAGATTTTCATCGAGCCGTGGACGCGCGAACAAATTTCCCAGATCCGACGGTAAAGCTTCTGGTCGCGCGTTTAATCAGATACCCAGGTGCCATTACGCTTCGTTATCGTTCGCCGGCCAAGCGTAATACACGGTCAGAAGAAAAATCGTCGCTGACTTCGTTGACGATGTTAAACGTCCACCCGATAAACCGTAACGAAGCGATCGCGAGGGTTAATCAACCCCTTCCTCCGTTATTCCCTCTTCCACTCTCAATAATTCCCTCGTCGTTTCGCTGTCCTTTAGACGATTCATTAAAATCGTGCATCAAAATTTGGACCTCGTGATTGAGAAAAGCAAATAAATAAATTTCTGAATTCTTCTGGATCTTCGAAGTTGGTCTCCCGAGAGCTCCATTAAATTTAATTAATGTAATCGTCGGCAGAGTCGAAATTAATTAAATTAACGGTTGATTAAATTGATTCGAGGATTCGTGTTGTTAATTGTTCGTTAGTTTTCTCTGGGAAGCAATTTGGAAATGGAACCGTGTTTTTGATACCGATCGAAAGAATCTCCGATGATCGTTCGATACGAATTTTTATCTTGGTACCATTCGACGCGATTTTTGCGATTTCCTCGCGCGGCAATTTGCGGATTGTTTCGGGCGCGTTTCCAACGCGCGCTGTTCGCGCCCTGTCGCAATTCAATTAACCCAATTGACTCGAGATAGCCGGTACGCGGTCCTAACGCGGGACGTTGCTCGAATGTCAATATTTGTCAATGGGCAAACGGCAATAGGCAGCCTGTGATTGCGTGCACGCCGTTACTCCTACGTGCGCTTCCGTAATTGCGCGTTCACGTCTCCCTCCACCGGAAGTAACGTCCTCCAGTCGGTTCCAGCCGACTGTGAACGCCATTCCTGCGTATTTCGTTAGCTGGACGACGGTAGAGAGAAATTTGGAAACGAACTTTTCACTTTGGTCTTGAACTTGTATCAACCTTTGTATCGAATCGACAAGTTCTGGATTATAATTGAACACATCCGGTGGATGTAACTTGAAAGCTCCTTGTTCGCCTAAACGCAGCTAATGGAATCGAAATTGCGATTCAGAACTCGAGTAACTGGCTTATAGTTGAAACTGTACCGTTGGCGAATTTTAATTCCTTCGAAAGTTGTTGATTAATTAATACTTGAATAAACTAGTATCCTTGATGTCCCATTGTAGTAGGGATCGTTGGTTAACTAATTTCCGATGAAATATTCAATCGGAGGGATTTGATTCCTTTTTTAGAAATAGGTGAAACGAAAAAATGGTAATTTATGTTATTAAGGTCCTCTTAATTGCAACACCCGTATTTCTATGATATCGTAGTTATAGGTGGATTATTAATCAAAGGCTTATTAACAGG